GTAGCCAAACAAATTTGAGGCACGTAGCTTCAATACATTTTGTGTAATTCTCACCAAATTAAAAAAAAGCAGCAGAGCAGGTAAGCGTGGCACTCCACTTCTCTATCATTATTGATTTACTGTGTCTTGGAAAAAGTTTGTATAGCAAAATCAATTGCGGATCTCTTCTTTCCATTGATCATGCAACAATATATAAAATTTTGAAAAACATTTATGAGGTCGACCAGCCATGCTTTGTTCGATCTTACGTGGAATCACCTAGGAGGTTTTCAGAGGCCTAGAATGGGAAGAGTTGGGGATAAGAGTTCATAGAGAGTACCTTAGTAACCAGCGCTTTGCTGATGACATTGCATTGCTAAGTAACTCAGTGGACGAATTGCAACTCATGATTACTGAATTAGACAAGGAGAGCAGAGAGGTAAGTCTTAAAATTAATCTAAAGAAAATGAGAGCAATGTACAACAACCTAAATAGAGAACAGCGCTTCGAGATAGGTATTAGTGCACTTGAAGTTGTAAAAGATTATGTCTACTCAGGACAGGTAATAACCACGGAGCCAAACCATGAGATTAAAGTAACTAGAAGAATAAGAATGGATTTGACCACACTCGGCAAGTACTCTTAAATCATGACTGGTAGATTGCCACTATCCCTGAAGAAGAATGTATATAACAGGTACATCTTGCCGGTACTTAGCTACGGAGCAGAACCCTGGAGACTTACAAAGAGGGTTCAGCTTAAATTGATGACGACGCAGCGAGCAATGGAAAGAAAAATGGTAGGTGTAACCTTACGAGACAAGAAGAGAGCAGAGTGGATTAGGGAACAAACGAGGGTTAAGGATATCCCAGTTGAAATCAAGAGGAAATGGACATGGGCCGGGCATGCAGCGCGTGGGAAGGATAACCGATGTTCATTAAGGATAACTGACTGGCTTCGAAGAGAAGGCAAGCAGGTTAGGGGGAGACAGAATGTTAGATGGGCAGATGGGATTAGGAAGTTTAAGAGTATAAAGTGGCAGTAGCAAGCACAGGACTGTGTTGACTGGCAGATCATGGAAGAGGCCTTTGCCTTGCAGTGGACATAGCCAGGCTGATGATATATATATATATATATATATATATATATATATATATATATATATATTTTTTTTTTCTGGGGCATTGGTGGAGCTCACACCACACGGTGATACAAAAGCTCCTCATGCTCACAAAGCATTGGTGGACAGCTCTCCCAGGGCTGCATGCAGACAAGTTTTTCTCGGGGGGAGGGGGGGCTATCCTTATCGATCAGAACATATAACAAACACAGTAATGACGACAGTAATCTTCTGGCAGGTAGCCACCAAAATGCAGATTCTCGCGTGCAGTGACTCCACTCACTGGTCGCCTTGCACAAGCACACAATGTGGAAGCTGGACATGATGTCAATTACTACATTTGCCACATACAGCGGAGCAAAGATGTTCCTTGATGACCAAAAAAGAGACCAACATTGGCTACGCAGCTCACGTAAGCACAGAGGTGTGTCAATGTCTGCACAGAACTGGTGCTTTATAAGTTCACTGCTGCCATGTGAATGCAGGTAAGTTGATGCAGTGCATCTGCGGTGTCCTTGTAGTTCAATCAAGCAGCAAGTGTAGGCCGCCCACATTGAACAATTTTTTGCCAACTCGTACTACTCATGCCACAAAACATCCTTCTTCACACCATTATGAGACTTATAGACTCTGCCAGCATAGCAAAGATGTACAGCCGCAGCCACGTTTGTGTAGAGCACTGGAACAGCCGGTTTTCGCTCTGCGGCGGGAAACCTTGGGGCAGTATCAGGCTCTGACATGATCATCCTGTCAAGTAGGCCGTGCATGCTCCTGATACACCTTTTCAGAGCCCGAAAATGCCTCAAGGTTTCGGCCCGCATAGCAAAAACTTGCTGCTCGAGCGCTCTACACAGATGTGGCCGCGGCTGTACTGTTCAGATAAGAAAGGTACAATGGTGCGCACCACAAGAAGTGCCGTAACCACAACCATAGAGAGAACTAGAGGTGGCACTAGTGTCTATGGGGGCTGCAACGCATGGCACTTCAGCCAGCATGAGAATGATGGTTAATACCCGAATATGTATAATCTTCATTCTTTCAGCTTCGCGTGACTTTGAGCCGCTTTTCATGATACGACAATCAGCAAACGTTGAGCAGTACACTTAACCTTTTAGGCTCACCAATTGAAATCGGGTCTTGAAACTCACAAAAGTTTGTACTTTAGCTCAATACAAAACTGAAACACAGCCAATAACCAAAGCCACAGGTGTGCTGAAATCCCACAAGCATAAAGCCTGTTAACAAAAGTTTAAGATAGAGCAGCAGCACCAAGCATCATAGCACTAGCAGGTAGGGGCAGCCAGAGTGTCTACAAGTGTGTACAAGCTCATCTGCCTTTCAAGACCGTATTATTGCTCATCTTCAATGCTAAAACAACTTTTACTGCCTATTGTTAACCTAAATAAAACCCCACCCCTTATGTAATGCCCCTCCCAGAAAGGGGGGCCTTTAAGGTAATAAACTGAACTGAACTTTCTTGTTCCGCCCTGGTATTAACCATCTTGGAGACCTTGAGAGGCCAGCTGCTCAATATACACAGCACTCCCTAGTCTAACAGTTTAAGGTTTTGCACAAAAGGACCTGTGGTACTTGGGAAGGACAAAAGGCCAGCAGCAGCATCAGGAGGTGGTTTCAGGCCACATCAAACAACAAGCCATTTTTGGCCTTCTGAGCAACCATAGAAACTGTTGATATAGACAGTACAGAACTTCACCAGTGGTGCTGAATGTTGAGTGGGCATAGTAAAGCAGAAAGACATCCAGCAGGGGCAGAGAAGGTAATATTACATGCGCTTGATGCAAACAGAAGTACAAGATTGTAATGAAAGTGGTCCGACCAAACAAACATGTCACCATGCTGCTATGTAAGGTACAGCCAGGCCGAGTTTGAGCCACATGATGACAATGAGGCTCTCACTAGACAATTAGGAACAATTGCCAATAAAAATGTTTACTGCGATTAGAATGCCCAAAGCTGCCCAACTGAGACCTAGAAAGAAGAGAGACACGAAATGCAGACATTCATGTGTCTAATCATTCTCTCTGTCTGTATCTTTATCGTGCATTCTCATGGCAAACCACTGGGCCTAAACCTCAGTGAACTACCTTTCCTGTGACCTCAGTGGGACTTCCACACCATTGGCCCACACAAGACCTCAGGGGTGGCTGAAAATTTCACTGGTAGTGCCACTGTGATATGTAACACATACCTTAAAGCCTTATAACAAATAACTTTATGCAAAGAACCTAAATTAGCCTACTAATCATAGAAAACACTTGCTGTAGCCACTCAATGCATGTGTGCAAAACCATCAAAAGCATTTCAGGGTCACTTTACACTCGACCACTTTTCAAGCCACCACTTTCGGTAGCATCAACTTGATGACAGTGAGATGAATCAAGCAAAACGACTTCAGTGATGGGGGCACTCAGTCCAAAGATATTTAGCGTAAAAGTTATAAGGAAAAATATGCTGATATCATGTGGTTCATGACCACCTTTCCCACTTCCAATGAAGGCCTCAAATACACAACAAGCGCATTGTGGTAACAGTAGGGAGTTCTCGAATAGGGGCCCCAAAAGAATAGCATCAAGGCCAATGCACATGTAGAAAAACAAAACCCCGTTTGGGTTGGGGACGATATTTCTCTAATTTAGCTGGAGCCCCAAAGCTTGCCCCGAAAGCTTTGCGTCAGACAAACCTGATGGCACCCACTGAAATTACATGACCAAGAATTGGGTGAGTATCCAAAGCGCCGCAGACCCTATTCGAAAACTCTTCGCTTCTGCTTCACCCTAAGTGTGCGTACGCAAAGGGCTTTGGGCCCCCAAACTTTTGGGGCCGCTATTCAAAAACTCCCTAGTGACCTTATCGCCTTGGGAGTTTTCGAATAGCCGAAGCTCTTGGCGTATGCACACTTTGGGTCAAGCAGGAGCGAAGAGTTTTCGAATAGGGTCTGTGGGGCTTTGGATACTCCCCCAATTTTTGGTCATGCTACTTCAGTGGGTGCTATCACGTTTGTCTGACGCAAACCTTTCGGGGAGGCTTTGAAGCTCCCGCTAAATTCGAGAAATAGCATCCCCAACCCAAATGCGGTTTGGGTTCTGTGCATGCGCAGTGGCCTTGACGCTAATTCTTTTCGAAAACTATATTCCCGTTCTGATACAATGCCGCAATCGTATTTCAAGATACTTCTGAGCAATCGCAGGCTTGGGTCGTACTAGCGGGCGCTACTACACATCGATGCGATCGGAAGGGATGTACTGTTGAGAATATTTAGCATCGGCATAAGCATCTACAACCATCCTTCTAGACAAAAAACAAAAGTATAGGTTAAAGGGCCCCTTTAAACACAGAATTATTACGCTAGAAAATAACTCATTACACTTGAGACCTTTACTACAGCTGACAAGACGGAAGTAGAACTTTGCGACAACATGAAAATAACACTGGTAAAAAGATGACCTGATTTCATGAACAATGCTGTCCGATTCTCCAGAAGCCGTAGGGACTAGTCGATTAGTAATTCATACATAGCGAAAGTGTTGATGCGACCCTGCGCGTTACAACACCTTCACGATATGCATGTTCCCACACAATCCGCCGCTGGTTGGGCAAGTCAACTACATTTCGCCCTCATTTGAAGCGTCGCAAACAAACGAAAGTAAGACCGAAGCGCTTGTAAAATGAACACCGAAGCTAATAACAGCGGCTGAATCATTTGTGTGCGACGTTTAGACGACCTTTTCGCATCGAAGAAAAATGGAACTGGCTGATTTGGCGAGAAAAACTACACAATGATCAAGCGAGTGGCAGCGGTCGATATACAGACGATTGGTTCTATGGGGGGTGAAAGCGCAGCCGAGTGCAGAAATGAAACGTCCTTCAAAATAATACTTACCCTAAGGCAGCATCCGCCAGAGGCAAGCAACGAAGATTGGGGCGCCTTCCTCAACCTAAAGAGCAGGCATTGATGTTCCTTCCAACATACATTGAAAGTAAAGTAAAACAGTACTGTGCTAGTATAAGCAGCGCACGCGTCAAAAACTTAGATATACGACCAAGAGATGGCGCTGCTGCCTCTCTAAGATGCTGTATCTTTGAGTGGATTTGGCCATAGCCTCCTCTATAACCATAGCATAGGAGGCTATGCTATAACTATATAGGAGGCTATGATTTGGCTAGTGTGTACTCGAAACCACGCCTCGCCGCCTGACCCCTTCCGCGTTGCCCGCAGCGACGGCGCTGCAGTCGAATAGTACTAAAAGAGCCACGCGCCGCGTGCAGGAACTGCTGTGCGCTTCCGCTCCTCCGTCGCGCTTTCTTGATGCAGATTTCTTTATACCTGCCCATCATTCATGTCTAGCACATGATGCCATAGCCCTTGAAGTATGACACGCCAGTCTACTGAATTCGAGCTCCATAAAAGCCCTTGAGACAAATCGAAAATAATTCAGAAAGTGTGTGTCTCGTACTGATTTCTTCTCTTAACTCTTCCTTCGTTGGTTAGGCATCTACAACATTCAGAATAACTGAGCTGATTTATTGGAAGTTATCTGTGCTCAGAAAGCTGTGAGATTAAAAAATAAATACTGTGTCACACGCGCGCAGAACCAGAAAGTTACAAGCAAAGAGGGGAGGGGAATCTGAACCCCCGACACCACGAAATGTTTTCGTAATAATATTTACACGCATTCACAGTGACCACCAAGTGCCTTAGTTCGGTGTTCTGCTGCACACCCAACCCCCTCAAAAAAAAAAAAGGAAATCTGCCCTATGCCAATAGTTTACGGCTGGCGAACCTGAATATAGCGCGTCTGCGTGTACAAATGCGCAATGTAGATTTCGCCTTTTCGACAGTATGATATATATATATATATATCATACTGTATATATATATATATCATATATATATATATATATATATATATATATATATATATATATATATATATATATATATATATATATATATATATATATATATATATATATACTTTGCGCTTACTTTGCCACCTCCCGGCTGATACGCCTATGCCCACGAGTACTCATTCGCGTTCAAACTCACGTGCACTCTTACTCACGAGTGCTCACTCACGTTCATACTCGTCCTCTCACACGCATGAGTACTCACTCGCGTTCATACTCACGTACACTCACACACGAGTACTCTCACATTCATACTCCCATCCACTCACTCTCCTGAGTATACTCACTCGCGTTCATACTCACGTCCACTTTCACTCACGTGCTCACTCACATTCATACGTTCGTCCACTCACACACATGAGTGCTCACTGGCGTTCATACTTACGTCCACTCACACCCATGAGTGTTCACTCGTGTTCATATTCACGTCCACTTACAATTATGTGGGCTCACTCATGTTCATACTTGCATACACTCACACATGAGTACTCACTCGCATTCATACTCACGTCCACTCATTGAGCCCTCACTCACGTTCGCACTCATGTCCCCTCACTCACGAGTCAAACTCACGTCCATATTCACGTCCACTAACACTCATGAGTGCTCACCCTCGTTCATACTCACGTCCACTCACATATGAGTACTCGTCGCGTTCCTCACATTCACCTACACTCGTGCGTACTGACGTCCATTCACACTACGAGTGCGCACTCGCGTTCATTCTCACGTCCACTCACACTCACGAGTGCCGACTCACACTCACGTCCACTAACCCAGTCAAAAAAGTTCAAGTGGTCCAATGGGAATAATACCAATTGACATCAATTGGTTTTTAACCTATTAGAATTTCGCCACCAGTTGGAAACGTACCAATGATATCTCATTGGTGAGTCACTTCATATCCAATTGGTTATAACCATTCAGACAGAACTGGTGGCTGATTGGTTGACCAATTGATGTAGGTGGGGGACCAATTGGTCATCCAATTGAAGCTCACTGGTGCCCAAATGGCTAACCAGTTAAAGTGAACTGGTGTGGGACTGGTAATCCAGTTAATCGTAAATGATTCCCCAGTTGAAACTAGGTGGTCTTCAATTGGTTAACTAATAGGAAAAGATAAAAACATCAATTGAAGGTAGCTGGCGTCTAAATGGTTTGCCAGTTGAAGATACCTAGTGTCCAACTACACGGCCAGTCTAAGGTACATGGTGTTCAATTGGTTAAGCAATTAAATAGATGTGGCCATTCAATTGAAGGTAACAGGTACTCAACTGGTCAGCCAGTTGAATTAGGCTGGTTGCCAACTGGTTAACCGGCTGAGCACAAATGGTCATCCATTTAAAGCAAACTGGTGCTCAACACAGAGCCTTTATTAGACAACAATAGTTCTGCGAAAATGTCTCATGCAGAGTGAGCTTTGTAGTAAAACTCCAAATTTCTGCTAGTGAGGGTATTTGTAGTCAAACTGCCGCCTGTTCTGCTGCAGCTTCAGGAAAGGAGGTCGCTGGTGCTGTTTTCTTTTTTCTTTGTTCCGAGTTGCATCGGGAATCATGCAGGCAGGCTGTGCTAAAGAAAAATATAAGACAGAGAAAAATTAGTTACATGGCTGAAGTAAAGAGGTAAATACACTAGTCTAAAATGCTGTAACTGAACGCTCTAGCACTCTCCAGATCGGGTAGTTCGAGATACTCCACACATGGAGAATTCGTCCTAAGCGGTAATGCATGCCAACATCGACAGTGCAATTCGGAGCGCGTCATTCAAGTGTTCCAGACGAGTGTGGTTACCTCTGCATGAAGGATGGAAATGTTATCGATGTAACAAGGCTTGCCGCGTACAGGAGCTCTCACACTTCATGCCTGCTGCGCCCGTGCACCGTGTCCGCTGCAGTCGCGAGCCAACACTAGTTAGGGAAACGAACAAAATGTGCAAAAGGTGCTAATAATACAGCAGTTAAGGTGGTTCAAAAACAAAATACTTGCCTTGATTGTGAAGAAATGGGGCCGATTATATGGATCATGCCAACATAATTATTGCAAAGACGCTGAATATAAAACACACCGGTAAAGCTTATGACTTGTGTTCGCTGAGGTGGTGCGCTGCTGATGACGATGCTGATGGCACTTGCTGCCACGCTTGCACTGTGAGGGCATGCACTTTATGAAAGTATAAATTACTGACTAGTGATTTGGTCAAAAAACTATACAAAAATTTGTAATGGTAAAATAATTTTTATAGTTTATTTTGACCTTACTTTATTGCTTCGAATGCAGCGTTTTGGAAGGGTTGTTAGTACTAAACCAATGCTTGCTCAGCCGCTTTCTCACTGTGTTCTCTTATGAATAAACTGCGGCGGCTGCTCGCGTGATAAAGATGTCAAGTGGCAAGAAAAGTGTGCAGCAGTACTGTAGTAAGGTGCTTTATGACTTTAAAAAATGTTGAAAAATTTTTACCACTTTCACTCATTCACTCATTTCACTCCAACCAGTTGAAATGAACTGGTCTTTAGCTGGTCTGCCAATTGAAATTAACTGGTTTCTTCTAGGTGAACCAGTTGAACACTCACAACATGAAATCTTTGCAACTAAAATGTTTCCAATGAAGGGTCTTCTCCAATTGGAAGTCTTTTCCAATTTGGGTGTGCACATCCAATTGGTCCAACAAGCATTCTAATTGGAAAGCCGATTGGAATCCACTGGTCCAATGGTTTACCAATTTGGATGTGTGCAACCAATTCGACTGACAAGCATTCCATTTGGGAGACCAATCGGAAACTGGTGGGCTTATTGGAGTGACCAATCGTAACTGTGTGGTTTAATTGGTCCTGCACATTGTAGCACCACATCTCAGTTGCTTTCCAATTCGTTCCATTTAGGACCAATTGCTAGGAACTGGTATGACCGATTGGACCAATTCACTTTTTTTGACTGGGAACACTCATGAGTACTTACTCATATTCACACTCACCACGTTCGAATGAGTGAGGGAGTGTGCCGAGCTATGCGTACAAGTGAGCCACTCTCTCGGCTGCTTCTTCCCTGTCTGGCAGCTTTGGAAACGTGTGCAATAATTTATAGGGGGACAAGCACAAGAATCTTTATTCGCGACGGCAACTACTTGCGCATCTTGCGGCTCGAGTCGGGCGATTCCTTCTTTCCGCCCGCGGCAGGAGCAGCAGCAGCTGGCGGCGGCGGAGGGGCGGCGCCAGGAGTGAGACCCTCCTTGAAAATTTTGCCGGCAAAACACTTCTGGAAGATCAGAGTGGCGCCGTTGCTCTGCATGGGTGCCGCGCACCATGCAAGCACTAACAGCCTGATGAAGTAGATGCGCTTGAAGTAGCGGTGAATGCCGATGAACACAAAGTTCAAGACGATGTTGAGCAGGGCATACACGATCCAGTAGGCGGTCCACTTCTGCAGCGCCAGTACATCCGCACGATCGATGGCGCGGATACTTCCAAGCATGGGCCACACCGTCGAGATGAACGTCGCCGACTTGGAGCCAAGCACGTTCACCAGGAACAGCAGGCCCACGATCACCACTAGGCCTGCGTAAAGAACGTTGTGTGAAGCATAACGACTACGTGCAATATTTGCTGCAAGTGGAGTTGCATGGCCGGTTCGAACAATGGTTGATGTTGTCAGGGCTGTACAAGGTCCTCTATAACAGTAAAGGATGCTCGTTCCTCATTTGTCACCAATTTTGGAACGAGTTCCAAAATTGGTGACAAGCAACTGAGATGTGGTGCTACAATGTGCAGGACCAATTAAACCACACAGTAACGCGTCAATTTTGGAACGAGTTCCAAAATTGACGCGTTACCATTTTCTTCAACGGGAAAGGAACGTGTTAAATTACTGTTACATTTCAATTTTTCATTTGAAAAATAGTTTCGTTTAATCCTGAAGCGAAAAAAGTAAGCTCACATCAAGAGACACATACTATATGATTTTCACATCGCTGACAGGAGTTATACGAAAGGAGTCCTCCCTGCAGTCACTATCTCACCTCTTCTTTCTATTTCTCACTCTCGCTATGTCTTTTTTTATAAATTTCCCTCGTCATCACCATCACTACCCTTTTCCAACCCATTGCTATACTAAGCTTTGATATGCCCTGCCAGCGTACTCGCGTGTTGCAGAGGTACGCATAGCTTATAACGATTCCCTCAACATCTCACTTACTTATGATGGTCACTCAGAGACATACACCTCAGCAAGTGGAAAGTCTGTTATAATGCCATTTGCATTCGTAAAGTGCTTATATACATCCTTGCCACCGTTGTTATGTATAATTGAAACATAGCATATCCATGGCGTGAATGATGGCGAGTGGGCGAAGCTTTCTTTCTTTTATAACGAAGTGCACTTCATGACCTTGAGAGAAAGGGCCGGGAGTGAGAAACAGTGTGAAACGAGTGCACCTGCAATCATCGTTCTCGTCTTCTGTCTACGATCGGCGCTCCTTGCGCTTGCATGCTAGGACAACGGGCACCAGAGGTACAAGGCTTGATAAGTGTTCTTGAAGATTGGTCACGCAGCGATCGCTGGATGTAGATATGTAGTTCACAGATTCCTTTTGAAGCTCACTTTTTTCACTGGCTGCCGCCACGTGCAGTTCAAGCTGCTGTGCCGAGGACACCAGATTAGCAAAAGGACAATCGTTTAGGTGGTGGAAGCGGAACGTGCTCCCCACTTTGGTAAAAGTGACGATGGCCAGTTCGGTGAACATTCGGCCCACTATCATGTCAATTATTTGTGAATAATTGGGGACTATCAGGACAGGCACATTTTCTGCGGTAACGCCATCTATGCTTAACTTAGCCTTACAATGACCAAGGCTTTTCATCACGGGACATGCTAGCTGCCAAAACCATATAGTTCAGCCGGTTCCCAAACCATCTCGATACCACATCGCACTGCTGCTGACGCTCGCAACAAGCAACCGGAACTCCCTGTGTCAATGAGGCCTACAAGGATGAAGTCGTTGTTGAACGTAACTTTGTTGAGCAATGCATGACTGGCCCCAGTGCAAGGAAGTTCTCTGACAGCATTCGCCTCGTTATGCAGCAAAGCCTGCCAGTTGCGTTGAGTGTGATCAGTTGCTTGGCAACGCTGACACTTGAGCGGGCGCTTAGGGTCAGGGCAGTCGCGTGCGATGTGGCCATAGACATTACAGTTATAGCATTTTTGCTCACTGAGATGGTTGACAGACGACAATCCCAGGCGTCGATTTCCTCGCTCGATTGAGTCAATGGTCGCTTTACTTGGCATGGGCAGTCTTCGTTCTTCGACGCAAAGCTTCGGTTGCGAGATCTCAAAATCTCCCACCGTTCACGTTCGATGGGCTCGAACTCTACATTGTCGTGAAGAAGGTCGTTGTCGTCGTCATGCACCCTTCCGAAAAGCATGATGCAAAGTTTGCGGGACCTCAACCCCATGAGGACTTGTTCTCGCGTATTGGTAAAGTCGAGGTCGACTTCATGGCACAGATGCACCTTGGCATGGAAATAGGCCATTGTACTCTCATTGCGCTGCTGCACACGCTCTTGCATCTTGAGCCATTTTCCCGCAACACTAGTCTGGCTGACGGAGGTCCGACGGAAGCGTGTCTCGAACTCCTCCCATGACATGATCTGTGAGCTTTTCGAACAGTACCAGTCCTTGGCAGCTCCTACCAGTCGGGCTTTGGCAGTTTCTAGGGTGTACGCGGCTGGCCACCCGTGAAGGTTAGACGTGCGATGAATATTCTCGTTCCACTCGTGCCGATGGAGCGTCCTCGGAGCTTACGAAGGCACTCATGTTGTGGTTTAAGTCGGGAATCGCCTGAAACGTTGCCACTGGTTCGGGTTGCGCTGCGTTGGCCAGAGACAGTCGTTCCAGCAGGGTTGCTAGTAAATGATTCCTTTCTTGGAGAGCTTGAAAGAGGTCATGAGTCGAGATAGTGTCGCCATGGCCAGATGCTGTGTCTCTTTCATTGGTGCTTTACATCTTAGGGTTAGGGATACCAAATCCGTGCACTGATTAAACTCACGTTTACTCTTCCTTTGGCAATTGGACTGGCTATCCCACTTCTGAAATATTAGCTTGCGGTATCTTTGAAGCGCCAGAGACGTTGAAAAAGGAAAATATTTGCTTGACTATCATGAAAACACAAGCCACACAGGCTATAAATGCCACACAGGCGAAACGGCACAAACGTCACTCCGTCCTCATCGTCGTCTTCCTTTACTATCTTCCTCAGGGCACGTGCATTTCCAACATAAGGTTACACCTATCATTTTCTTTTCCATCGCTCGCTGTGATGTCCAGAAGTTTGGGTGAACCCTTTTTGTAAGCCTCCAGGTTTCTGCTTCGTAGGTAAGTACTGGCAAGAATCAGCTGTTATATACCTTTTTCATGTGAGTTAGTGACAGATTACCATTCATGATTTCATAATGCTGGCCTAACATGATCTACCTCATCCTTATTCTTTCGGTTATTTCACTGTCATCGTTCGGCTCCGCAGTTAGTACCTGTCCTAAGTTGACATATTCTGTTACAACTTCCTGCGTCTCTCCACGTACCGCAAAGTGCTGTTTTCTTCCGAGACTGTTGCAAATTACTTTAGTTTTGTGCATATTAATTATAAGACCTACTTTTGTGATTTGTGGGATTTAACGTCCTAAAACCACCATATCAAGACCCACATTTCTCCTTTCCTTGTCCAGTTCTGTAATCATGAGCTGTATTTATCCCCTGAGCTACATAGCAAAGCAATGTCATCAGCAAATTGCAGGTTAATAAGATAATCTCTATTAACTCTTATTCTTAACTCTTCCCAATCTGGCTCCTAAAAACCTCCTGTGAACACGCGGTGACTAGCATTGGAGAGATGCCCCGCCGCGGTGGTCTATGGGCTGAGGTACTCGGTTGCTAACCCGCAGGTCGTGCGATCGAATCCCGGCTGCGGCGGCTGCATTTCCGATGGAGGCGAAAATGTTGTAACCCTGTGTGCTCAGATTTGGGTGCACGTTAAAGAACCCCAGGTGGTCAAAGTTTCCGGAGCCCTCCACTACGGGGTCTCTCATAATCATATGGTGGTTTTGGGATGTTAAACCCCACACACCTGGCATTGGAAAGATCGTGTCTCCCTGCCTTACACCCTTCTTTATTGGGATTCTGTCACTTTCTTTGTGGAGAACTATGATGACTGTGGATCCACTGTAAATTTGTTCTACTATGTTTATTTAGGGCTCGTCGATGCCCCGATTTCGCAGTGGCTGCATTACTGCTGATGTCTCGACTGAGACAAATGCCTTCTCGTTATTTATGAAGGTTGGTTGTATTCCGCGCATTTCTCTATTTCCTTATTGATAGTATGAATATGGTCTATTCCGGAGTAGCCTGTACGAAATCCTGCTTGATTTTTTGGTTGATTGAACTCTAATGTCACCTTAATTCTATTAGCTATAACTTTCGTAAATACAGTGAAATCTTGGTATAACGAGCTTTGTCCATTCCCGAATCACGGAGCCATTTAAAAATGGCCTTTCTTGAGCCTGAAAACATCGTGGTGCTTGTGTTGAGAGGCGCGTCCAATGCTGTTGATTACTAGTCAAGTTGTTCAAAAAATTCAGTCAGTTGGCTATGAGCGTTGGGCTGTTGTACCAAGTCTTTTCTCGCCGATCGCATAGTTGCCATCTCGTGCAGGAGTCGGTTCTTCAAGTGAAACAAGGAGTATCATATGCCTGCGTCCTCGTATTGTGGTCCGTAACTACTGCGAGAAGGGCAAGCATATCTATTTTGCGCATTTCGAGTAAAATAACCTCGTGAGCAGACAATGCAGAGAAATCTGCTGCACTTTATTGCTTTGAAATTGCTTGCTTATTTTCTCTCTTTTGCTGTTTCCAAGACAAAGTGGTTGGCACGCTGCCCCATAAAACCCAAGTGCCTCTATGCCTATAGTTCACGCAGGTCAATATTTATGTGTGAATAATTTGCCACCATGAGTGCTTCAGTTGACGCGTGATAACCACATGAAGCTGCGGTATTCGCCAACTGGGCAGGTCAGATCTTCCTGCAAGGTCCTTACTGAGCCTCCCAGCTGCAGGTATCCAACTTGAGCGCTCCATACATAGAAAAAAATGGGGATTGATAGTATTCAGTGGCAGCAGTATTGTAATCTGGCAGTATCAATAAAGGGCCACGGAATTCCTTAAGTATATGAGTACATAGGTGAGAGTGCCACATTGAAAGAGGAAGTGGTTGTTCTTTTTCAGGTGAGGAGCATTCTCGAGCACTAAATAGGAAAGAAATTAGAAACAAGGAGCAGCGTAAAACTCTGTACAGGAAAAAGCCATGACAAAAACAGGGAATGATGCAGAATATGTGGAGTTACGGGTTTGCGGGAAGGTGTGATTTGCCAACTCAGTCATGTGTCAGTGATGTAATCAGGACAAGACATGGCTTAAGGAACTGTGGGAGACTGCCTTAGGCGCTCGCATCAAATGAAGCTTTAAAGGGCGATATGAGCCTCTCAAGCTGTCAAGGAAGATTCCACAGGAGG